ACCAGGACGCCCCTTATTTTCGGGATTCATCGACGAACAAAAGGATAGGCACATCCCCCATTGTCACGCCTTACCTCAGAAACCCATCCTTTGCCCAGGTGTAGGCCTACCCCGAGAATCTTGCTGGAAATGAAAGGACAAGAAGCCCATGAGCTTTCCAAGTTTAGGCGACCTCAACAAAAGGTTCTTATAGTATTTTCATGTGCACTTCCGAGGCCCAGCAGCAGCTCGCCATGACGGCGTCCAGATGATCCTCATAAGACCATTGGTCCTGCCATTGGTATCGGAACCCAACGATTTCCCTTGTTCCTAACAGTCGTCTCACGAACCGAGTCATTTTTCTACAGAACGGCAAGATACCACGGCTAACCAATGCGGCCATGTGCATCCGAGACGTACGCATCTATACATGCCTCGGCGAGGAGGAGCGCGACGTCAAGACGCACGTCGAGAAGGTCAATATTCTCTGCGCCGCCCTCGAACCCTGTCCCGCCGACCTCTGGGACCGCCGCGAAACCCGTCATCCCTACGGCTGCCCCTCATGCACCGGCCGGTCGTCTCTCGTCACGCCCGCCGGCCTTCCCGACGTTGTCGTGACCTGGACAACACCTCGCGATGACGACGTTGATGCCCAGTTTGCCGACCGCTACGCCAGTGACTGGGCCTCGTACATGCGGCCCCTCATCGGCTGTCTCCTCGCCCACACCTGGGGACCCCGTGGCGCTCTCTCCTGGGACGACATTTACGCCGCCTACGCCTGGCTCACGCGCGAGACGGCCTGCAAGGAGCACAGCCACTGGCTCAACCGCTGCCGCTGCGACGCCAACGCTTCCGACGTCAAGCGGTTCCTCTACAACCCCGCCATCGCCTTGCGCACCATGGCCGCCACGCGCGCAGGCCAGCCGATCCGCGACCTCGTCTACCGGCGCGACGCCGTGCACCCGAGCCGTCATGCAGAAGTCATCGAACGGGCGACTGCCGAGGCGGCGAGCGAGACGCGGCTGCGCAGGGAGCATGCCGAGCGCAAAGAGGCATTCCCGTTCTTCCGCGACGGCCGGGTGCGGTGCCAGCCGTACTGGGAGGCGCAGTTCAAGTTTCGCACGACGCTGCTCGAGCACCAGGCGCGCACGACGCTCCTGCTCGAGGACAGAGCGTCGCGGCCATGGCACAGAGCGTGGGGCGATGAGCCGGAGATGCTCGACATGGAGGCGCACGACAACGGGGTGAGGACGGCTGTGCTGCGGTACCTGGGCCACATGATGGTCGAGGACATTGGGCTGTCGGACGCGCGGCTTCAGCTCGTGCTCGAGCGGCTCTTCGAGGTCGTGCCGGCGCCGTGGCGACGACGGTCAAGCCTGCCGGCCCTCGAGCAGCTCGCGAGCACCATCACAACGCACATGACGACGACGATGTTGGTGCGGCGCGGCCTCCAGGACGTCGACGACGTGTTGCCGGACGTGGCTCGTGCAGCAGAAGAGCGACTGGTTTCGGCGAGAAGACGGTCTACCAAGC